AAGTGTTAAATCACTGTATTATATTCCTAAAACTAATATTACACTGTATGTTAACTAATTGGAATTTAAATAAAAACTCCAAAAAAAATTTTTTTTTAAATGCAAGATGGGGGTGCCTGGGTGGCTCAGTTGGTTGAGCGACTGCCTTCGGCTCAGGTCATGATCCTGGAGTCCCGGGATCGAGCCCCGCATTGGGCTCCCTGCTCAGCAGGGAGTCTGCTTCTCCCTCTGACCCTCCCCCCTCTCGTGCTCTATCTTTCTCATTCTCTCTCTCAAATAAATAAAAAACATCTTTAAAAAAAATAAATAAATAAAATGCAAGATGGCATAATTAAGTAAATATTTTGGATTAAAAAAACTTTTTATTTATTTTTTTTTTTAAAGATTTTTATTTATTTATTTGACAGAGAGACAGCGAGAGAGGGAACACAAGCAGGGGGAGTGAGGGAGGGGGAGAAGTAGGCTTCCCGCTGAGCAGGGAGCCTGACGCAGGGCTCAATCTCAGGACCCTGGGAACATGACCGGAGCTGAAGGCAGACGCTTAATGACTGAGCCACCCAGGTGCCCCTAAAAAAAAATCTTTTTAAAAAGATGCTTAACCTCACTAGTAATCAGGAATGTGAAAATTAAAACCATAATGAAATATTACTACACACCCATGGCAATGGTTAATATGTAAAAATCTGGCAGTACTAAAAAATAAATAAAATTCAAAATAAATAAAAATCTGACAATACCAAATGTTGACAAGATATATGACAAAAATAATTTTCATATAGTCTTGGTAAATCAGTAGAACCACTTCTGAAAACAACTGGAACAATGGTTACACTCATACAATACTGATTGGAGGATACATTAGTGAAAACCACCTTGGCAAACAGCTTGGCATTATCCATATAAGTTAAACATATACACAATTCCACGATCCAGGACTCCACTCATAGATATATATGCCCAGTAATAATGAGTGCATATGTTCACTGCAACATTCTTTGTAAGGCTCCCAATCACAAAACCCAAATATCCATCAATATCAGAATAGATGAATAAATTGTGATATTTTTATACAATAGATTACTATATGGCAAAGAATCACAGTCACACACACCATAGGCAAATCTCACTAACATAATGTTGAGCAAAAGACAGATACAAAAGAATACATACTTGACCATTTCATATATATTAAATTTAAAAAGCAGGAATATCCAAATTACAGTGCTTAGGGATACACGCTTGAGTAATAAAAGTATAAAGAAAAACAAGAATGTGAATACTATGAAATCAGGATAATGATAACCCTTGGGGGATAACGATTACAAGGGGTCATAAGGGGAGCTCCTGGGGTACTAGCAATCTTCTATTTCCTGACCTAGTTTCTAGTTACACAGCTGTTCTGTTCAGATAAATCATTTAGCTATTTTTGTTTCAGGCACTTTTCTTGGTATGTTTTATTTCACAAAAAAAGGTTAAGAAAAAAAGACCTAAGGGGCAAGTTAAACAGATGAGACAAAACTAAATAAAGAAAAAAGGGGACTGTAAAAGAGACCTAAGGAAACTGTGCAGAATGAATCCAGAGGGATGACAATTATGTTAACTATAAAGGAGAGAGGTGCCTGGGTGGCTCAGTCATTAAGCATCTGCCTTTGGCTCAGGTCATGATCCCAGGGTCCTGGGATCGAGCCCTGCATTGGGCTCCCTGCTCAGTGGTGAGTCTGCTTCTCCCTCTCCCTCTGCTCCTCCCCCTGCTTGTACCCTCTCACTCTCTCTCAAATAAATAAATAAAATCTTTAAAATTATATATATATATATATATATACACACATATATAAAAGAGATTACCAGACATGTAGGATAGCATAAAAAGTTGAGAATACAGATGATCAAATTCCAGCAAGAAAGAAGGAGCACGATGAGGAAGATGAGAAGGGAAAGGAGGAGGAAAGGGGGGAGGAGGAGAAGAACAAACAAGGTAAAGACAATTTTCAAAGAGAATTTAAAAATTCAAAGAAGATATCAATCTTCATTTCCAGCTATCTCTCTGAATCCCAAGCTGGAAATAGAGAGAACACCTAGCCTCATCATAGTGAATCTTTAGAACCACAAACTCAAAGTGAAGATCTTAGAAGGAGCTACAGAAAGTTCGATTACTATAAGGAAGCAACATTTAGACTGACAGATAACAGCAACAAGGGAAGCCAGAAGACAATGGAATACTGTCTTGAGAATGATGATTAATTGCCAAGTTAGAGTTTTATATCCAGTGAAAGTATCTTTCAAGATCAAGAGAAAAATACAGACACTTTCCAAACAATAACAATGACAATAAGTTTAATGAGCCCTCAAGAAATAAACTTCTAGGGGTTTCTGGGTGGCTCGCTTGGTTGAGTGACTGACTCTTGATTTTGGCTCAGGTCATGATCTCAAGGTTGTGAGATGGAGCCCCATGATGGGGCATGGAGACATGCTGGGTGTGGAGCCTGCTTAAGATTCTCTCTCCCTGTCCCTCTGCACCACCCTCCAAATGGTTCTCAAGCTCTCTCTCTCTCCCTCAAAAAAAGAAAGGAAGGAAAGAAGAAAAACAAACAAACAAACAAACAAACTTCTACAGGATAACCTTGAAGAAAATTATCCCAAAAGGAAGGTCTGAGAGATAAGGGGAAAATGAGCAGATAAAAAGGTAAACGCTTCAGTAAATCCAAACACTCACTGTGTTCAAAGGACCAAAAACCATACCTAAACAAACACAAACAGTGGGGACGCCTGGGTGGCTCAGTCGGTTAAGCATCTGCCTTTGGCTCAGGTCATGATCCCAGGGTCCTGGGATGGAGTCCCGAGTCAGGCTCCCAGCTCAGCGGGGAGCCTGCTTCTCCCTCTGCTTGCTTCCCCCTGCTTGTGCTGTCTCTCTCTCTCTGACCAATAAAATAAATAAAAATCTAAAAAAACCCAAAAAGTGAATAAAAGAGGAAGGGAAATAGAAATGGAAGAATGGAGGGGCGCCTGGGTGGGGCAGATGGTTAAGTGTCCAACTCTTGATTTCAGCTCAGGTCATGATCTCAGGTTTGTGAGATTGAGCGTCAGGCTCTGCGCTCAGTGCAGAGTCGGCTTGGGATTCTCTCTCTCTCTCTCCCTTTGCCCCTCCCCCATCTCTAAAAAAGAAAGTAAGAAATGGAAGAATGGAGAGACCAAGGAATGAATGATTTTCTTCCTAAAGCTTTTCTGCAGCCATAATCAGGGAAATGCAATCACACCGGAAGGAGATGTGGCCTCCAGCATGCGTTAAATACTCACCCAAAACCAAAATGAAGTAGGTTTGGGATTACTTGCCACTTTAACTTATCCATGCCTCTGCTATAGTAATTAAACAATTACTATCACTAACTATTCACTTCAGACTACCCTGTTGCTGCACTGATACTTCATTTAATTAGAAAATCAAGGTGTTTGGCAAAAGTGAATTTTCCTCGTCTACTAAAGCTCACTATTTAGCAATGGCTTCTTCTATTATTGTTGGTGCAAATATTTCTAAAATGATATAATTTCTTATATAGAATACACCAAAAGTATCCAATCCTTTCCTGATTGCCCAAGGTCATTGGCAGAAACAATTACTATTATTTCTGAAATAGCCTCCAGTAGCCAAGGTGTGAGGTCTTGTGTGACTACTAAGCCTTGCCCACGCTGCCACGTGTACCCTTGATCATCACTGCCCTGGCATCTGCTAGGCCTCCCACCCTGCTCTGACCTGATTTTGTGGCAGCTTTTCTGCTTAGAGCCTCTTCTGATTCCAGGTCCTGGCTCTAGGCCATATCCTAAATATCCAGAAGAAATACATCAGAGAATCTTGGCAAGGCATTCTACTGCATTAGTAAGAAACGATAACTATGATTTATACTTTTATAATATCTTCTGTTTCAAGGAGATTAAAGTTCACTCTGTGAATCAGGATGACAGAGGAATAGACGCACCATATGATCCTCATCCCAACTATGTAACAACTCTCCCAAAGGAAGAGCTATGAGAAAAAACCAGATGTCAGGCGCCTGGGTGGCTCAGGCGGTTAACTGCCTGACTCTTGATTTCGGCTCAGGTTGTGATCTCGGGGTTGTGAGATTGAGCCCGTGTCGGGCTTCATGTACTTGGCATGGAGTCTGCTTGCGATCTCCTTCTCCCTCTCTCTCCGCCCCTCCCCCCACTCGCGCGCTCTCTAAATAAATAAAATCAAGGAAAGAAAGAGAGAGAGAGAAAGAAAAAGAAGGAAGGAAGGAAGGAAGGAAGGAGGGAAGGAAGGAAGGAAGATTGATTAACCAGATGGTTAAGAAAGCCCTGGGCTCAAGTGGTTACCCTTTTATGCCTCCTTTCCTAGCTGTAAAGTAAAGGTAACAAGAGTATCTTCCTACATTGGATTACTGTGGAAATTAAATAAGATAATGGAAACAAAACAGCAAAGTACCTGGCTGAGGGTAATTAGTATTTCAAATTTTAACTGTTATCTCTTTAAATGCTACTTTGTGTAATAATTCCCATTTAAGTAGACTTCCTTAACTATCTTCTCCATGGCATCCTTATGAAAATACTATTAAAAATATTAATAGTAGTTAATACTTAATGAGCACTGACTATATGTGAAAATCATGCTAACCCCTTTATAGGGTTTGTCTATTTGAATCCTTTGAAAACTCCTGGGAGGGAGATACTATTACATCCCTATGGGACACAAGTTCACTGAGACTCAGAGGGTAAGTAGCTTGTCCAAGTTCAAAGAATGATAAGTGGTCAAAATGGAGCTTGTACAGATATGTCTCACTCTAGAACCCATGCTTGTAAGCACTCCCCTATCCTGAGAAGAGAAGCTTCTCCTTCTGCTAAATTCTATTTGTGAGCTAGCTGAGAACAAGCTAATTCTCCTTTAATCTTATCCTCTACTTGACTATTCAAGTTACCTAGTTAGAAAAGCAGCAAAGATTTACACGTTTTGTTTTTGCTTTTTAACTTACCCACTCACAGTCGATTCCAAGTACTGGAAAATCTTCTAACTCACTCCTAAGCAAGGGCTCAATGTGGTCCCACTCAGCCTCCTGAGACACAGTCACCACCTTTGCGCCGAGGATCCTCTCCTCCCATGAGGCCCCGGGGGCCCTGGAGCGCAGCCGGACCTCTTCTGGAGCGGGCAGCTCCCTCCTGCCCGGTGTTTGATGCTGCGGATGCTGCCGTCGCTGCCCGCTGTCCGGGCTGTCTTTACTCCTCCGCCGCCGGATGCCTTTCCACAGGACAAACCCCCCCACGGCCACACCGATGAGGGTGGTCACTGTCAAAGCCATTAAGTATCTAGACATCTTCAACTTTTTCTGTTTAGGAAAGCATATCACTAATCCCACAATCTGCAAAACAAGTGGCAACAATATATTTACATACAGAAATTTAAACCTAGATGGAAACATGTTTTCCCCTAAAAAGTGCTCCACTTATAATCTATGTGTCCACAAACTAAAACAAAATGCTACAGATTTCCACATGGAAAGAGTGATATTTCTTTTTCTCACTTTTGTACCTTCGGTATTCCATCTCCATCTTCATTCTCACCCGAGGAAACCCCCCTGCCCTCTACCAGCTGCCCAGCGCTCACTTCATCATGTGACAACAGAGTGTCTGAACATAGACACACCTGTACAGAATTTGAAAAATCAAAATTATTTATAAAATTATTAACTAACTAATTAAAATCCTACTGCCCTTAGGTGACTACTGTGATCAGTTTGATGTTCTATTATTTTATACAATTAAAAAAAATAAGAATGGCAGATGGCTTTAGTCAGGGAAACCCCACACAAAAGTCTCTCTTCCATTTTTCTTGTTACACGTGGTTTTCTCAATCTTTTGTTTTCCTATTTTTGACAGAGAAATGGATATATAGTACTATTTCTGTACTACTTAAATAACAACAGAAAATGTGTAACAATAAAGGGTAAGTGGCCCTTGGCCTCAGTCACGGAAAGAAATCATGGGACAGACATCATTCCATACAAGGTGATTGATCCTGTTTGGGAAGCAGGCCCAGTATAGTCAGATAACTCCATTACTCAAGAGAAGTCAGGTATCTAAATTTTATGTGAAATATCACTATTTTTAAGTGTCAGCAACAAACTTACAGTTTTTAAAACATTGTACCAGCCAAACAAAAACACTCTGGGCTCTGTGCCACCCATCTGTGGGCTCTGGCCTAAAATCTCTAATGCCCAAAGACACAGTGATCCGCTAGACCCTGCCTATGCTTCTCTACGGCTGTCTACCACTGAATGTGTACTATTTTAATCATTTTTCAAAGTTTCAGTAACAGTTATTTTTTAAATAATTTAATATTTACAACAACACTGGGCTATCATACCTACAGAGATATTTGGCATTGGAGATGAAAAATGAAATCACAACAATTATTACACTGCTAATGAAAACAATAAAATGGCTGTACTGTTTTAAAAAGATTTACTTTATTGCTGAAACTGTGCTAAGTATTCATGTGTACTTTCTCCAGTACTTTTACTTAAGGCTTAATGAGATTAAAAGAATTTGCACAAATTTCTAGTTAAAATATTCTGAGATGTTTTAAAAAACCCCCCTTTCTCACTGGGAACAATACAAAATGCTGAAGAAGACATTAAAAAGATAAAAGTATAATACAGAGTTAAATTCAAAAAGAGGAAAGGGAAATCATCAGGTGCCAGAAACGGAAGTGTGTGGGAGAGATAGCTGAGCATAGACCAGAGCCCCAGGGCTGGGGTAGATTGCCAGCCCATGACCAGAAGTCTAGGCCACGAGGCCAGGGTACAGATGGGACTCTGGAGAGTGCTACCTTGTCCATGAACAGGAACTGAAAACTACTCACCCACCACGGTCCAGGCAAGCCACCTGCCCAAGGCTGGGAGTATGAACAGAGTTCCTCATAGGAAGACAGTCCCTCAATCCTGCATCATGAAGCAGTACAGGGGACAAGTTCACATTATCCTCACAAAAGAAAACCCTAAGCCAAGAACCTAAAACTAAAATGGTTAGAATTGGTGCATTCTGTTGGAGTGTGTGTGTGTGTGTCTGTTTCTAACACACAGGAAACCCGTAGGACTTCCACAGAAGATCAGTCCCTAGAAGAGCAATCATAAATGAATAAAAACAAAACAAAAATCAAAAAACCCTAGAGCCAATAAAAAACAGTTCACAGAAGAACCAAACAAAAATATCCATATCTGAGATCTGAAAGGAACTTTAAAATAACAACACTTGGGGAAATTAAGGAAAATAAAATCTAAAACATGAACAGGAGACAACAAAAAGTAGAAATTCTAGACATGAAAGATATTTGTTAAAATTTTTTAAAAGTTCAATAATCAGGGAGCCTGGGTGGCTCAGTCGTTAAGCGTCTGCCTTCGGCTCAGGTCATGATCCCAGGGTCCTGGGATCGAGTCCTGCATCAGACCGGGGAGTCTGCTTCTCCCTCTCCCTCTGCCTGCCGCTCTGCCTACTTGTGCTCTCTATCTCTCTGTCAAATAAATAAAATCTTTAAAAAAAAAAGTTCAATAATCAATAGACAGGTTAAATAGTAGATCAGACAGAGAGAGAGTTAGGGAATTGAAGATAAATCTGAGGAACTCACTCAGAATGTAGCACAGAAAGATGTAGAAAACAGCAGAGACATGAAGGATAGATAAGAGAAACTCAACATCCATGTAGTGAGGAGTTGGAAGATGGAGGTCATCAGATTTAGTACAGTTCTCTGAGCCCCAAGTTGGATAAATTAAATCTATCCACAAAAAGACTTAAGAATGTTCGTAACAGCTTTATTCATAAGACTAAAGATACATGCATGAATCTTAAATAACATTAGGCTGAGTGAAAGAAGCCAGATACAAAAGAGATACTGTATGGTTCTATTTACATAAAGTTCTAGAACAACTAAAATTAATCTACAGTAGAAAAATATCTGAACAGTAGTTGCCTCGGGGTGGGGGTGGGGGGTTACAGGGAAGAGATTTAAGCTGAGCACTGAGTATCAAAAAAAGAGCCAGTCACAAAAAATTCTAGGGAAGAGCATTTCAGGCAAGAGGGAACTTTCTAGAATTGTGTGTAACATTCCAAGTCTTGATGGAAGCTTGGGTTACACAGGTACACACATCTGTCAAAATTCAGCAATATTAAAAAAAAATTCAGCAATATTTCTGATGTTTTCCTGGTGTCCTGACTGATGAATAACTGCTGGTTCATTCACTGTCTATCTTTCCCACTAGATTGTAAACTCCATGAAAACAAGGACCTTACCTTACCCCAGGAACTAGCACAGAGCTCATAATAATAAATACTCATTGAATGAATAAAACTCAATTCAAGGTGTTATATTTTATGATAAATGTCTCTACTTTAATCATTCAATTACAAAAATCTGTTTATTCCAATGAAAAAAGCATTTTTCCCCTTACTGAGCCTTGATGCTAAAAAGAAACAGCATGATTCAATGCTGCGCCAAAAGTGAGAAAAATCAAATTTTGCATTACAAACTGAAAGTTTGTGTCCCTCTAAAATTCATATGTTGAAATCCTATCCCCCAATGTGATGGTATTAGGTGGAGCCTCTGGAAGGTGAGTAGGGTTAGGTGAAGTCATGAGGGTGGAACCCCGAGGAATCGGATTAGGGCCCTTATAAAAGCTTGCCTCCCTGGTCTGTCATGTGAGGATACAATGAGAAGTCAGCAGTCCGCCTTGTGAAAGAGGGCTCTCACCAGGACCTACCCATGCTGGCACCTTGCTCCTGGACTTCCAGCCTCCAGAACCGGGAGAAATACGTTTCTGTTTTTTATGGTCCACCCAGTCTATGGTATTCTACTTTAGCAGCCCAAAGAGACTAAGATACCTTTCTAAGGGCTTGCTCTGGGATCCAAAGCTTTCAGTGCCTCACCACCTTCCATGACTGAAAACAATCTGCCATTTTAATTTATTTTTTTAAATTGTACATAGTAGGGGCACCTGGGTGACTCAGTTAAGTGTCTGCCTTTGGCTCAGGTCATGATCTCGGGGTCCTGGGATGAGCCCCGTGTCAGGCTCCTTGCTCAGTGGGGAGTCTGCTTCTCCCTCTCCCTCTGCCGCTCCCCCTGCTTGTGTGCACGCTCTCTCTCTCAAATGAATAAATAAAATCTTTTAAAAAAATAAAGTTGTACCAGTAATTGAATATCAAACTGACAACAGTGATTACCTAATGGTAGTAGGATTATAATTTTGATTTTTCAAATTCTATGCAAGTATGTGAATCTCTTGATAATTGGAAAAGTACTGTTTTTTTAAACTGATGCTTTTTACAGATAGGCAATGTATATATTGCACTTAAGACATGATTATATTCCTGAAATAAATCACATTTGGATGAATTAAACAAATATGTTAAGCTGTTCAGGGAGCAGCCTAAGGTAGAGGATAAGGTCAAGGGCCCTAGAGTAAAATACCCTGGATTCAAATCCAGCCCCTGCCACTTGCTAGCTATATAACTTGGGCAATTCACTGAACTTAAGTCTCTGCTTCCTCACTGGTAAAATGGGAAAGATAGTACCTGCCCCGTAGGACTCTTGTGAAACTTAAAAGTAAGGTGATCAATACACCTGATTTAGCATACTGGCTAGCACATCAGGGTTCCATAAATGTCAGCTCTTACTGCTACTGGGCTCTATAAACCACAGAACTCCTATTAAAGGAAAACAAAGAATCACAGAGTGAAAATTCAGGAGCCAAATTCAGCACCTGCACAAGGTAAGAGACCTTTCCGTGGTAATCCTGACAGATCATGACCTGGTCTCTATCTGAACACTTCTAGGAACAGAGTTCATCACCTTAAGAGGGGGGTTTTGTTGAAAAGTCCTTGCATTCTGCAAAAGTTCCCTACTTAGACATTGCTCTCTTTTTAGGTTTTTTTTAGGGGGACAGGAGCAAAGGGAGAGAGAGAATTTTAAGCAGACTCCACAACCAGCGTAGAGCTGGACGTGGGGCTCGATCTCACAATCCTGAGATCATGACCTGAGCCGAAATCAAGAGTTGGGCACTTAACTGACTGAGCCACCCTGTCGCCTCAGAAATTGCTCTCTTTGATGTCTTTGATGTTCAGTCTGGCCCCTGAAATGACAACAGTGTTCCTTCCTGAGAGCCTGTGGGATATGTAAAGGCAGCTTTATAGTTTCTCTTAGAACATTCTTCTCAATCCAAGCAGCCTTCCTGTGACCTGGGAGGGTCACCATTGTGGCCGGGTCCTTCTGATCACCTCCAAGTGTGTCAATGTATCTCTTAAAATGTGGCACCCAGGTCAGTATTCAATACTTGAGACAGAGTGCAATTGGTGTGGACGACAC